TAAGCTTCCATGATCAACTAAGGATATTGCTAGTGTTCATATTGATTGGCCTATTAAGTTGACAATGCATTTATTTCAGGATCCATCAAATGTCTTCTCAACAACTCAAGAAGTCCTTCAAAAACGTTGGCAAATATCAAGATATTTTGCTGATTTCTCGATGCTACTCTCCGAAGATTCCTGAGTCTGTCTCACGATCTAGAGGCAAGCATTACGAGAGCCGGAAATGGTTAGGGAATGTGAATGGTTCTTTAACTGCTAAACAACATCCTGTTAGGTATCATTGATTTTTGGCATGATCAATATGTTTCTGAATAGTTGTTAGCTTTTTGGTCTCTTTGATGATCAATGCATGTTTCTCAGGAAGTTAATGGGTGGGAAAAGTTTGGATACAGTAAAGAAGAAGGCTACTACTTGGAATAGCTCAACGAGCACGATCACAGAAAGTTCATCTTCCAGGAAACCGTTACATAACTCAAGTGTTCTCCAGGCCAATGCTGCAACTGAAACAAGCTTGTCGAGCTGTGTCATGTCCAAGTACCAAAATTTGAGGCCAAATTCAAGCTTTCGAGGTCCCAGGAAGACTTGTGATGTGAAGAGAGTAACTTCTCAGGTTGGTGGCAAAGTTTCTAGTGTGGCTCACATTTCAGGTATGAGAGGCAGCAGGACTGCAAAATACTCCACAAGAGAGATTACAAGGGGTGGAATTTCACAGAATTACAATTCTTCTGCAGGAAAATCTAGTGTAGGTTCCTCTTGCAGCCCTGGAAGCATAGTCCAGAATGTCAACACTACTAAAATACAGAAAAATGGAATGTGCAAGGAAAAGAAGAAGGCATCAGGAACTGTCATAAGGGCACATGAAACACGAATTAAGGATGTAACTCAACGTGTGCACCATCAAAATAAAGCAGGTGATGCTAAATTGGTCTGCCAAAAGTCAGAATCCAAGGTTAGTGAATATAAGGTGCATTTTCTTATTGATCATTCCTTGTTTATTGTAATTCATACCTGTAACCATTGATTATGCTTTTCAGGCTTTAGGTCCTGCCGCACTCAGGAAGCCTTTAAGTCAGCTCAATAAATCAAGACCACAAAAGACTGGAGTTGTCACAATTCAAAGAAACTTCTCTCTGTTAGGAATAAAGAGAATACTGCAGTGTCCCATATATGTGAAGTGAAACCCACACATTACAGGTATCTACAGATTTCTCAATTATTTTGCTTCACTGCAATATTACAAACTGTGAACCTTCATTGCTTCATTATCTTCTTTTTTACACAACCATTTATGAAACCAATCCAATTATGATCACAGCCTTTCTAATTTAAATTAAATTGCAATCAGCTTATGTTTCCATTTTCTTACGTAATTGTAAGTAACATATGACAAGTGAAACAGTAAACTGGTGAAAGACACTACTTCTGAAATTTTTCAGAAGACTTCATTTTTCTTGTCTTAAGACCTAAGAAGCACGGACACGATATGCGGATATGACATGATATGGATACGGCAATACGTCACTTTTAAAAAAATTGGGATACACGACGAGGACATGTGCTATGACCTGGCGACAGGGGCACCCTTTGTGTTGTTGCGAGTGGACGTCGTGGAGAAACGCTGAGGGCATGGCCGTGCAAGGTGGGTGATGATATTGCCGCATCTAGATATGTCGATGACGATACTGCAGTCATTGCCGAGGTCATTCAAGCAGATGGAGTCGATGTCGGTCGACAAAGGGAAGCTAGCGGAGATGGTGGTGGTGGGTGGTGGGTGTGGTCGTGGAAGTTGAGGAAGGGAGTGAAGTTGCGATGGCAGTAGTCGGTGATGTTGCGGAGAAGGCTGTCGTCCACACAACTCAGCACCACATGCGAACTGCGGAGTGGTAAGGAAAGGCATGGGTCCAACACGGATACACCGTGTCCAAAGTAACATGTGTTGGACATGTCCAGTCGTGTCAGAGACGTATCCATGCCTGACACAGATACACCCATCAAATTGGCGTGTCGGTGCTTCATAGCTTAAGACTCCGGATTGGTGGGAGTTTCCTGAATAGGACTGCCTTTTTTTTTTCCTTGTTCTGTTGCTATGTTAGAAATCCTATCGAAAGGGATAATGGAGAGCTGCAGTGCCAAAGGATAAATTTACCATATCATAAAAAACAAAAATCTAAAACATGAAGATAGCCAAAATTTAGAAAACAATTATAAAAAATATAGATTTTATGTGATTCGGCTTACATGTAAACAGATCCCCTTGTTGACATACCTAATGTTGTAGCTAAGTTTGTTAAGACCACTGATACATTATCTATCTGCTCCATGATATATGCATGCTGCATTCATATTTGCATGTGCAGAAGTTGTCCTATCTATATCTAACCAGTTGAGCTAATTGACCTTTGCCCGTGTTTTGGTTCACTTGTTACATCTTATTGTGAACATGGAAGAAAGGACCAATAAGTTTGAGTATTGTAGGATTTTCTTTTGCTTCTGTTCTGTGTAACTGGATTTTTCATTTTTTTTGGCAGGTAATAACCAATGGAAGATAGCGGGAAAAAAAATCTGACAACCAAACTCCCTTGAGATGGGACATGCTATTTCACGTGTATAGATTCCCTTCTCAATATATGATCGTTTTACGCTGTTAGCTTTCTAGTGCAAAAAAAAAAAAAACACTGTTAGCTTTCTGATCTTGATGAAATCATGCAGAAATCTTTTGTTACTAATTGCAACTTGGATGTTGTTGGTTCTATTTTTTGTGATTTCATCAACTTGGATGTTGATGAAATCATGCAGTATACATTTACCAAATGCTAAAATCAGATATCGAGCTACTTGTTCCTAAACATGATGCAGTGTGATTTTCCATGAAAGATATGTGGATGATTATTTGTGTAATGGCTAGTCATAGCACATTAAAATGATTAATCAGAAGAAGCATAGTGAAGATGTGAATGCAGGGCAAGGTTAGAAAATGGAACAAACAAGGTCAAAGCAGTATGCTAAAGCTAGCTAAAAGTAATAAGACAGCTCCATGGAGAAGCTTCATGCTGATGCTTGCAATATAATTTATGTAGCTGCATAAATTATATGAAATACCCATGCTGCTGATATCTTATATCAGATACGTAGATCTTCTTCACATGAATCTGCATTTTAAGATTAAGATATGTAATCTGATGCTTTGGCAAATAGTGGACTCAATGAGTCCCTCTTCTGACACTACTTTTTATTCGATGTACAAAAACTTGTGATGCTTGAGGCACTCTGATCGAACCTTGTCCATAGTTTCAACAGTCCTTCGATTTTTCGTGTGTTCACAGATATATATGTCTGTCCTTTGATGCTTTCGGTTTCGTCTAACAAGTCAGACATACAATGCAAGCCCCATATTGCAATCACAGCCCTCGTGATGGAAGAAAGCCATAGAACTGATGACTACTTCTCAACCCATGGAAAGCCATAGGAGATATCATCTAAATGAACAAAGAACATTTGCTTCCTATATATCATACTAAAAGGAATACACATGGGAGGGTTATCCGACATCCTCACTGAATCATCATGCTGTCCTTCCTACTGCAACAAAGGAGGTGACTCTCATGATTCATTCAGTGTTCTATACACCTCAGGTTTCTTAAACCCATTTGTTTCACTTCCTTTCAACTGAACTGCACACTGTCTTTGTCTATGCTTCAGTTAGGTCCCCAGCAACTCAAGTAGAAGACCATCCTCAGTGACTCCTCGGAAGCCACTGTGTTGTGTGGCCTGCACTGTCTTGTGGAACAGCCATTGCTGCATGGGTGCAGTCGCACTTGAGCTACTGATCCAGTGGCAGAGAATTTCCACTTGAGAGCTGAGGAGTTTGGTCTGGTCACCTCATCTTTGAGGTCAAGAACAGCCCCAAGAACAGAAGCTAAGCAAACCTTGCTTACCAGCCTCATGTTTTCAGATGGTGCAGAGAGAAGAAGCAGAAGGTTATCTTGCTTAAGAGAAGGATTTCTAGCTTGGAAGCTCTTTATAGAATATTGAAGGACATCAAGTGGGTAAGGTGATTGAAAGTGAGTGTGGGGCTAATCCCTCAAAGCCAGTGGTTTCAGCTTAGGAAAACCAGTAGCACAGACCATTGTTTCTCAAGTAGGGAGCTGATGAAGAGTGGGAACTATATCGTGTCTGATGGATTTGTGGCCATTGGTTTCTCCTCGGAAACATCTATTTGTTTGAGTTTGCAATGTTGAAGCACATGTGAATCGAGGGCTGCAAATGGATCTGAATGCAATGTTTGTAGCTTGTCCCTTTTAATCCCCATCTCTTTCAGTCCCCATAAAAATAGTAATTCTATAACGGACATAAATACTTAAACTAAAATTGATAAAAGTATACTCATCAATCTTTTATAAGTCAATCTTATTTTTGTCTGCTTAACTTATTTTTAACATCATTACATAATTACTTTTCACCACTTTGTATCTATGTGCCCTTGTCTCCGTCTACATTCATGTTGCACGTCTAGCTCTCGGGGTCTGGTCACCGCTGTTGATTCTAAGGCTCGTCAATCCGAACGATATATTTATTTTTGAAGGCACTTCATCCGCTGCTTGCCAGCGGTATGCTCACGAGTAATGTATTGGACCTCGTTTACAGCACTTTTTGGGCCAGTAATTGGAGTGCAGGATTGATTTGGGCCTTAAGAGCCCAAATTGGATTTTGAGCCCAATTCTGCTGTCCGGCCTACATCGACCTGCTAATTTATTTGAGTTTATGTTTTCATTATTAGTAGTATTTTAATTATTCTTTGAGTGACAAGCTTTATATGGTAAATACATCGCCACGATTGGTATTAGATTGACACCATCGAGTCATAAGCGGATCAGCAAGCGTAAAGAAACAATATAGCCCCTGGTATCGGGGAAGATGGCAGTGGGAAGCTCAAAACCAGCAGCAGCTCACCCCTAGTTTTCCTTTCTTCCCATGCCTTCTCTTCTCATCATCATCGTTCATATATTGGCTACTCGTCCCTTCCTACTTCGGCATCTAGCTGAGACACACACACACACACGTCTACCACCACTACAATCTTCTCTGCACTCGACTTCCTGCGAAGAATAAAGCATGGGTTGTGCAGGCAGGGCTTCCTTGGCGGCTGCAGCAGCGAGCATAGGCGCCGTGGAGGCGCTCAAGGACCAGGCCGGTCTGTGCCGGTGGAACTATGCCCTGCGATCTCTGCAACAGCGGGCGAAGAGCGGCATGGGGTCTCTGTCTCAGTCCAGGAGGGCGGCATCATCCTCCTCCATTGATGGGAGGGGAAGGTGGCAGGGGGGTGATGAGAAGGCCAGGCAATCTGAGGAGGCACTGAGGACGGTGATGTACTTGAGCTGTTGGGGTCCCAATTAGAGAGCCTTTTTGTGGTGCTCTCTGTAAATCTATATTATTCAACCATTTGTTCTGAGTTCTTCATTCATTTTGCCTATTTATATTGGTATGGAGAAGCATGAAGTGGGTTGATCATGTTGCAGAATCCATGGCCTTGTGTTGCAGTTCTACTCTCTTATCGAATCTGTACCTTTCAAGCCAATTGTGTCTCAAGGATGCTTTTGTACTTGAAATCCTCTCCCTCAGCAGGACTTTTCTTCCTTGGCTTTAAGAAGTATTCCAAGAGAGAGATTGTGATATGCTAGGTTGGACATATATAAAAGATATTGATGGGAATTCCTGTTGGATAAGTTCATTATTGTTCACAGAAAATAAGCAATCACAAAATTACAATCTGATTTATTCTCTTTCATCTTCAGTTTCCTTTTGTTTATTTCTCTATCCTCTTATTTGGAAGATGTTCTTTACTCTTGCTAAAAACAAAGGTGAGTAGTGTATCGGCATACATTTATATACACTACTTACATCAAAATCCATTTCCACATCTCTGATTGGCAACACAAGAAAATATATATATATATATCTTTGCTAGATGGCATGTGATCTTAATAGATTCTCTGTTTCTTTAAATGTCACATGATTATAGCTTTTGAGGCCCCCAAAAAAATCTAATACATTCGAACCTTCAAAATCTATATCTTTATGTTTGTGTCATTAAAATTTGACTGTCTTTGGACATATTCATGACTAAAGCAGAGAGAGAGAGAGCCTGTGATGATTGAGGTGAACAAAGAATGCAAGAACTATATATATAACATGAACCTTTGATGCACTTCTAAAGGCAACCTTCATAAGGAACAATAATGAGTTGTTGCCAGTGGTGACATGAGGCTTCCAGTCCTTAGATCAACTTGCTGCGGAGAAAGAAATACCACAGAATGCAACAGCATCATATTACCATCATGATTGCAGCTTCATACTATGAAGTGTAGACAAACTTGTCAGTCACTGTGATTAGATCATCAGTTTCAGATGAACCAAAATGCGCATCCTATAATTGAGTTCTCGATTGACCTCATCATTGTTTCCAGGTTTACTTTCTACATTCCTCATGAACATCCTGCAATCATCCTAAACTTGATTGGATTCATCATGTAAATTGAGAGACAGAAGGTGACAGAAATGCCAAATACTTGCTCTTATTACTCCTTGTTTTCAGTAATATTTGTTAGGACAAGAAAGAAAGAAAGAAAGAAGAAGTAATGGCAGCTCTTCTACAATCAATTCACACACAACAAATGTACTTTTAATCCAGCCTTACATCATTCCCCTCTCTGGGTCACTACCATTCTTCTTCCTTCCTCTTTACTCTCTCTCTCTCTCTCTCTCTCTCTCTCTCTCTGCACTAAATTTCCTTCGGTCTATCCTTCCCTACCTGTGTCTGTAGAGGAGTTGTTCTTCCACTCCTTCTACAACGACCCTCTTTTGCTACCTAAAGGTTCCTATGAAGGGAGGGGTCCAGAGATCAGCAGGGATCTCGTTAGCTACAGCAAATGTGCTCGACATGGGAACGAGGCACAGCCCTCGGCTTCGGAGGTCTTGATTCTGTTCTCCAGAATCCTTCGATGAGTCCAGGCTCTGCCAAATGTATTACCCAAAGCACTTGCAATCAGGAAAACATGAAGCAAGCAATCGAAAGAGGATTCTTGGTTACCTTCACTTGCTGCATTTGATGGCCATTCTTCAGATACGGCGCACTCAGAACCTGAAACACACACATAAATGTATGATGCACTTTTAAGACGAAGAAGATGATGATCATTGGCTGTCTGCTTAAGAGGAAGATGATGGTGAAGAGTCTTACGCGGACTTGATCGTGAAGGAACTTGATGTATTCGATGGCCTCTTGCAGCACCGAAGCAGTATCGGTCTGTAAACAGGAGTGCATGCATTCAAGTTTCTGAAGGCAGAGATCCACACAGCAGTGTTCCAAGAAATGAAAGGAAAGCTTCACCTTTCCAAATGGCGAGACCAGTTGTTGAAGTGCAGTGATTCTGTCGCCTAGCTTCTCCTTCCTGACCTGGAAGCACAGTAGCTTAAGGTTTAGCCCTCCCTAAGAATCATATATAGAAAGAGAAGCGAAGAATCAAGGACCTTAAAAGTTGGCAATGGCGATGGTGTCTCTGTCCTTGCCTTCTTGAGTGCTGGCTCGCTGCCGTTTCTCTTCTCCATGGTTGAGCTCGAGCTCCTAATAACTCCTGCAGTCGTCTAAATACAAGCAACACGAGCTCGTTTAGCCCCATCATGTACACCCTGAGCACTTGTAGAAGAAGACGTGATGGCTTCCACACTCACCTTGACGATGAGATTACTTCCGTCGCCCGCGGACGGATTCCAGAAGCAAGTCTCGTTGGAGAACTGCGGCGATCGAGCGGATGCCGATCTCTGCAGCTGTTCGCGATGGTCGTGAAACGATCTTTGCAGTCTGCTGTCGGGTTCGAGAAGTCCTGGTAACAGCGTCGACGAAGGTAGCTCGCAGGACGCGTTTGAGCTCAAGACGTGGTGGTGGCGGTGGTCATGCATGAAGCTTGGGTTCATGGTCTTCAATGGACTCCAAGTAGAATCCTCGATCCCGGAGTGTCGCTGAACGCATGGTCGTGAGATGACCTCCTCTTGGAGCAAGCCATGGAAGCCCCAGCTGGTGTCCTCTCTCCCACCATTGCTGCTGCTGCTGCTGCAACCGCAACAAAACGTCGTCGTCACTTCCATGATCCGACCTCTGATAACCCTAGAGGCGATCAAGAACATGCTTACAAGAAAGGCTGGCTCCACTCGAGGGAAGGGGACGAGAGGCCGAAACCCACCGTCGCCGGAGCCGAGACTTGGGGGTTCGAGATCAACTGGGCCTCGAACACGTCCATGTCAGCGGCGGTCGTCCATCTGAAGCTCCCACCGAGGTCAGCCACCTCGGGGACGGGCGTGGCGAGGCTTGCGGCGCTCCACCAGCTTCCAGAACTGCCTGGTCGGAGCTGCTGATCCGACATGGATCTCGGTGGATGATCTCCTCCTGCTGCTTGATAGACTAAAGTTCTTCCAAGGCTTGATGGCAATAGTAATCGGGTGGTAGTGCCTGCCACTTATATAAAGCGTTAGAGCAGCTTGTGGAGCCGATGAAGCAGCAGAAGAGTGGATGAGAATGCATCACAGTAATGCTTCCTTCTTCTTCTTTTTTTCTTCTTTTTCTTCCTTTTTCAGTGATTCTACTCATCATCTCAGTCTCAATCAAATCTTGCTTACTGTACCTAATCTGATTGAAATCCATGATTTATCCGATCACAACTCATTGTAATCCTATGAAGTTGTTCTTCACAAGGGTGCAGTTGCTGCCACACAACCCGATCCCTACCTACTTCTCCCACTCAATTCAGTGGAAGTCAGAGCGAGGCATGCGATGACAGCAACTGAGAGACTATTCTTTAAGGGAAGAACACAATAAAAATGTGGGAGGAGGTAACCCAAAAACCAAGTCAAAGACTACTCCAACTTCAACTCACAAAGGTGACTACTTGGAATGGAAAAACAAAACATTACTTTATCATATTATTTCTTTTGCAAATTATATATATATATATATATATATATTTATTTATTTATTTATATTTAAGTGGCCACAGGCGGCGCGACCTCGCTGACGCCACAGGTGGCGACAGATCGCGGGAAGTCAACGTAGGACCCAAAGGACAGCACGCGTGCCGGCCATCGGCGAGTCAAAAGGGCGAAGGTGAATCGAGACACGCGTCGGAGTCGCTACAATATGCGACAAAAGCTTTGACTGCCAGAGATATCTCGGATGGCGATGAACCGTGGTGGTGAATTCAAGATTGAATGGTTTGACTAAGTCTCTCGTCAAACCATATATGATCTTTTATCGTCGAGATAAGATTGGATTTAAAGATGGTTATTGGCTTTCGAGGAAGGATTTGGCATGGAAAGAGCGAGGAATTTGGCTGCCACGATGGGTAGAACAGGACACCGGAGAGTCAACCTAGTTGCCATCGTGTGACTCTCCCGTAAGCATGTTGATGTGTAGAACTTGATATAATATCAAGAGAATAATCTATAAAGCCAATAAAAAATAATAAAAGATAATATGGTTGGGTACTTTTAAGGATAGTGAGAAAATTTAAGTTGTATAAATTCATTTGAATTAATCTAAATTTAATCTTCAATTCCCTTGTATACTCCTTATATAGACCTCTCAATGTGATATTTATAAAATAATAAAATTATAATTTTTCTAAAAAATATTTTTAAACTTAAATTTTTTATTCTTTAATTACAATATCACGATCCGAGTCATGATGGGCTAACTAGTCTATCAACTTCGTTTGGTCTAAATCATTGATCAAAATGTTTAAGCTGAAGTTAATAATAATAGACTCATCAGACCTTTATAAGTCAATCTTAATTTTATTCACTTTCGATGTGGAACTAATCAGGGAGGTTACATATCATATCTCTATAAATTTAAATATACTTTTGCCAGTAAAATTGGTTTGTGGAACATGAATAAAAATTATTAATAAAAAATATAATTAAAATTTGAGAGTTGCATGGTCAACTACCCCAAGAATGCTTGGAAAGCTCTCGGAGAGAGAAGGAAATAAGCATTTATTGAGTTTTGTCTATTATGTTTTCAACAAATATGTGTATATGTTTTCTTATTTTGATTTATTTTCAGTACTCTATATAAGTGAAGTGAATCAAAAGAAGTTCTAATTCCATTTAATTAAAAATAAATAAATAAAGTTTCCTTCATTTATATGTTGGTAATAATGATGTCATTGTGATATAAGGATAAGAAGTGATTCTGCTAGAAGAAAAGGAGAATATGCAATTACAACATATGGGATACAGGCAATGGAATAGAACGATATGGAATTAAAGTCCATAGACATGTCACAATCGATCCAAGTGCGAACATGGACAAGGATCCAATATTTTGATTAGTTTTTGAGTCAACATAGTTTCCACATGCATGCTTAAGGTTCATTGTTAATCACCGCAAAAGAGTTGACTTGATTCCTTCTCCACATGATACAAAATCTAGTAGATTAACCCTTTGGATGTGATGATATCGATCAAGTATCTAAGATGATATTAGAGACTTTTCCAGGTCATGCAATAAAATAATAATAATCTCCAAGTATAAAATATTCATGACTTAAGTCTCTACATGTGATGACATTAGTGAAAATTAATGTTTGTTTTGTTATCTTCTGTTAAGACAGGAATAGGTTTCTTTGTTAGATGGCACAGATGTAGATCAGTTGTTGGACTGGTGATGCACAGATTACATCAGCATGTGGGAAGGCTGGTAGTAGTAAAAATAAAAGAAAAAGAAGAAAAAGGAAAAGGATTGGCAGAAGGTAGTGACCATGAGACCATCTTGTCTTGAAGATTCTTTCAGACTCTCTCATGATGTTGAGGAAGAGAACTTTGAACTGCTGTTCAAAGTTGCTTTCTCCTTGGCATCATTGCTGTTTCTGAATGTCTATATAATTTGTTCCTTACTGTTTTGTCCCCACACATCTCTCTCTCTCTCCCTCTCTCTAAGAACAGTAGGATTGCTTTGCCAAAAAAACAAAGGAATTGCTTTACTTAGAACATGAAAAGTAGCATCATCAAAATACTTATTTTAGTACCACCATGTTGTGCCTTGTCCTCTTTAAAATGGCTAAGTAAGCTTAGAGAGAGGGATTCCTGGGTGAACTGTGCAAAGCAGAAGCAAAGGATAACATGAACAGGCACCAAGTCATCTTCTTTAGTTAAACAAAACTGGTTGAACCAGGCTGTGTAGCATAAATAATTCAACAAACTCCCTCCAAGAAAGCATTCTGTCTTCTACAAGGGGGGAAGTGAACACAAAAAAGGAAGAGAGAGAGAGAGAGAGAGAGAGGGCTGTTATCACATACTACCAGTTACATCTTTCTCATCCATCAGTGGCTCCTTTATTGAACATTTTGTGCAGACACTCACTACTTGAATGGAAATTGCACTCTTCAACAAAGTAATGGAAATCATGTGCCTTTATACTTTTCATTCTTTTCAGCCATTACAGTAGTTTAAGTTTGTTCCTACACCTTATCCATGGACACAATCATGTCAAGAAGGCAACGACAACAAACTAATTGGAACTTTGAGTGGCATCAGATCACCAAAAAGTAGGATTCTATTAGATCTGTGTAGTTTGACATCCATACACAATGAATGATCAGTCCAAGAAGGAAACAGCATGGCCTCATTTCTCGATATGACACTAGCTGTTCAATTTCAAACAAATAAATTGAACTGACAACATTTATATAGAAATATTCAGATGACTTGCTTGAAAGTGTTTGATGAAACTTGTGGAAAGCTAACAAGCACTAGATTGACCCACCATTTCTGGCAAGAATGCATACCCAACCGACTTGCAGATTTATTTGAGATGCTACAAGAAGAATTGATTAGTTCAACCCACTTCTCTGAGCAGGTCATTACATCTCAATCTGTTTGTGTTAGATGTGCTGGAGGTATTAAACCCAACCTTCAATCAAACAGTCCTGAAAAATAAACACATTCACAGTAGTGAAAGTAACCACCATTTAGTGGAAGCTTACATCCAAATACAGTTGATTGTTCTCAATTACACAAACGAGGCTATGAATGGTGGCACTAGGATCTGTGAAGAACCTGCAAAAACCACCGCATGCATCCCAACAGACACAAATGCCACATCCTCTCCCAAGTTTGAAGCAGCGGAAACTTGGATCTCAGAAACCCTAGAAGCATCAAATAAATTACATACACATGCCCCTCGGCAGCTATGATGTGACCTACTAAAAATATATACGGTCAAAGAAATTTACATGTGAGTATCCTGTAGCATTATAGTTCGTAAGGGAAAAACATCAACAAAATGGGAAAAACAGCCGACTTATTCCAGTGTAAAGGACAACCAACAGAAAGTCATGCTAAATGTCCAAGGTTTTACACTATTCATCTATATGTAATCAGGTCCCTGGAAATGCTCAAGATCTGGATGAGCGCCACCGCCTGGCCGACGTGGTTGCCTGCACAAATGAAAACCACATGGCTTGTATAATAATCATCCACAAAACTAGGTGCAACATAACAGGTAGCAAAAATTTTGGAAACAGATCCATGTAAGCACGTTCATGATAATTAACTACTTGAGGGTCTTGTTATTATAACTAAATACACAAACAATGATAAATATCAGAACTGAACTGATCATTAACCTGACCAAGATTCACTACGCTGGGTCACTGTTCAGACTAGTGGATCAGTCAATAGTCCACAGATCTAATAAATGTTGAACCCTAAACCATATTCTAAAATTATGAACTATAATGATTCTCATTTTCTGCATTTTCTATTTAAAAATATATTTTTATTTTTCCTTTTTCTCCTTCCCCCTCTTTCATTTCTTCTCCTTCCTATGCTCCATTTCTCCTCCTTCCTCCCTTCTTTTCTTCCTTTTTTTTTTCCTACTTCCTCTGATTTTCTTTCCCTTTTTCTGTTTCTTCCACTCTTCCCCTTGATATCATCGATAATCGCAAAGGAGTCCCATGACAATTGGGCTTTCCTGATGAGGGAAGATTGCAAGGATTTTTTTTTAAACTATGATGTTGACATTACTCAAATATCCCTTATTATGATTCAATTTGATTTAGAAATTGAGGATATTATTTTCTTTTATGCATATTGAAAAACCAACTTATTCCTCAACTAACCGGGTCGGTTCCTTTGGTTATTAAAGAACCAGTCAGGTTAGTGAGTCCAGCCTTTTTTTTTTGACACATCCAAGCTTTTAATAGAACTAGATCAGCGTGAGAGCTGGTTAACAGTCCTTTGCGGTCGGATTGGTTGGCCTGATCCAATCCAAAATCGATAACTATGCAGAATTGAAAACAAAATCTTACATTTTTCTATATTCTTCAGGCTTTGATACCAAGACATTAGTCCAAATGTTGTCTGTTATTATGCATAAAATCATCAAGATTTTATTATTTCAACTTTTCTCTCCCTATGGTCAATTGGTCAGTCTTGAACTAGATCAGCCGGAGATTTTATGTATTAAATTATAACTATGTAATGTATCCTTCATTACATCACCACAGTAATGACAACTTCCTAATAGCTAAAAAATATGCAGGTTGTGCATGATTAATGCATATTTTAGTTTCCAATTTCTTATTATCAAATAAAAAAGTCATATACCTGATAAAACGGGCAGGCTCAAAACCAGGAACATCCGGAGGGCCATAAGGGTCAAACCGAGCACCTGGTGGCACACCCCTGTTATAAGACAAATTTATCAATCTTTATATCCAATGTAATATTATTTTAATGCCAAAAAAATGCACGACTAGCAGAAGTTTAAAAGAAGAGAGAGAAAAATTATTGCACTCACGGAAGGCCACCAAGAAAGCCAGCACGTTCATCGGAACCAAAAAAGCGTGGATCATTTGGTCCTGTAGCAAAGAATCAAAATATTACACAAGAACACGAGGAGAATTTAGTAACATTTTTTTAGGGAGCTAACCAACGTACCCACAAGCATACCACCACCTACACCAGAGCCTCTGCAGCAGAAACTTACAACAATTAGAGAATGATGCATGCCAAAGCCAAAAAAGTTGCAAAGGGAAAAGAATCGGAACCTATGAGGATAAAATCCAGCACCAGGGCCAGGATAGAGATCACTAATTCCAGTTGAGGGAATAGGTGGATAAACAAGACTGCAACATCAATGAAAAACAACAAATACATAATGGACACAGAGTTAACAATACTGCTTCACAGAACCAATTGACATTAACCAGAAACATCTTACTCAACAGAGTCATGTAGAAGAAAAGAAGAATTAAAGAAGAAATGACAAATAAACAAACAGGACAGAATGAAAAATATATTCGTATCCAAAACTTACCCACGAGAATAAGGTTCCTGGTGTCTAGGAACTGTCACAGAAGGTTCACGGATGACACTTTGTCTGGATCGATCACCGCTGTCAAAACCAGATGCTACTTGAATCAAGAAGCGTATATTCCAAGCAGATGTAAAGCCACCAGTAATTCGTATAAATCATTATTTTAATATAAAGCATAAATTTACAATAAATTTGCATTTTTGAAAACTTAAGCACATTATCTAAAAAGACTTTTTCAATGGAAGCATACCCTAACACAACAAGAGGACAAGTTACATTCTACCTGTCTTTTCAAAACTATGGATCTTAACGATCAGCTAATATCTCTTTATTACTTAAAAAAATCTTTAGACAAATTTGACAATAATCGCTATAATGACCTTTCACATCCCAATGCTCTTTGCAAATGCAGATTCAAAAAAAAAAATGATGCATAAAATTAGTACTAACTCAATTAAAAGTCTATTTGAATGGGGTAAAACAACTCATGAGACAGAATAACTGATACATCAAGATTTGGTTATATTATGGAGAAAATGGTAATGGTTGAACTAATTTTTCATCACGTGCTATTTGTTGTTTTTTGCACAACAATTAAACCTACTTATAAAAGTACATTGTTATATGGAGTACTGTGTTAGATAGCTTGCTAATATGACCAGATTCATGATCTCAAATTGAGTGCACTAGCTACGACAGTTGATATGACAAACCTAGCAATCTTTGTTTGTTATAATTGCCAGAATTCATGGCTCTAATATAATGTCTAGAAAAACTTTATTTCCTGATTCACTTTATTTGGTGACAGCAGGACTCACATCACACAGATTATCACATTTGGCAATTTCTATGGAACTGTTGAATAATCACTGGACAAATGGCTTCAGCCAAATCATGGGTAATTGACATAACTTCAAATCATTAATGACATTGAATACTATTTTACTGCATGGTTATCAGTCTCATATTTGTATGACCATACTATTCAAAACTCATCATAATAAGTAATTTTTCCAAAGAAATATTTTGGTAGGACATCTAAGGCATCTAAATTTATGCTCTTCTTGGTGGGATTCATCATAGTTAATTTATAGCTCATAACACAGTTACAACAGGACAAGTTTCATGGAATCCATGTCTATTAAGCTGACAATTGTAGATGGTATCTAAAGGGACGACAAAAGAAATAGTTTAATGTACCTCTTGGCTGATGAAGAGCTCTCAGCTTTGGGCTCTAACTTGGCCAGAAAACCAGAACACAACTTGTCCACCAGGTCCTTGAGATTCTTATACACTGCCGCATAGTTGCTGGTTTGCTTGGCAACATCAGACAAGTAGTCCTTGACGCTGAAAATGAACAAGTAAACTAATAAATTTACTATCTTCAAAGAAAAAAAGAACACTATGCTGTCTACTAGGATAGAAACATACTTGATTTGGAGATGGAAAGGCTCTTTCCCTGGTCCACTGAGATCCAGGACATCAATGGTGAGCAAATCACCTATAGGCAAGCACTTCACCAACACAGTCTTCTTCGAGCCCTTGTCAGTTTTCATGTACACAAAGGCATAAGCATCCTCCAGCTCGTTCCATCCATCGATTCCTACCTCTTCCTCACCTAAATATAAGCAATAAAGAACGGATTATCCTATACAAGTTCGTCAATTCTTAATTCTATCCTGCAGAACAAATACTTGAAACCCTTACCAACCTAAAAGCAACTTCTTTTATTCCTTACAAGGCAAAAGGAGACATTAAATAGCAGGAAACAAGAACAAATTTGAACCAAAAATCTAGTTTTGATCCGCAAAAGAAAGAAACAAGGCCAAAATATAAGGAAACACGCACCGATCGGGGGGTTCTCGGACAGGGCACCAGTGCCGGTGGCGATAAGGGAGAATCCGGCAGCGAGGAAGGAAGCGTGGACGGCGAAGGCGACCTTGTCGTGAGGGTTCCGGAAAGAAGGACGCGAGGCCCTGATGACCGCCATTACCGAGCTCTCCGACGCCATCTTTTCGCACCACCGTTTTGGGGAACCTCAATAGAATTGGGGTCGAATGACACCGACGAAGACTAAATAGGGTTTTGAAAACTTGGTTAAAAAGATAAGAAAAGGGCCGCTTAACGGATCGGAACCGCGTCGAACGACTTTTGATCCGATTGCCAATCGGATCGTTTGCTCTCGACCCGTAATCGAGTTTATTTGCAACAAATTTAATTTTTATTTATCATTTTTCATTAAATTAAAATTAAGCATCTTAATTTTTTCTAAAAATATATTTATTAACTAAATCATAATTTTTCTTAGCAAAAACGAATTGCATTATCTTATTATTTAAAAATATATAATCTAATTTTATATTATAAAATGATTCATTGTTGATGTTTTTATAATTAGACTAAACATTAAATCAGTTTGCAATCAAATCTTTAACTAATTATATTAGGATCTTGATAGAATTTGGATCAAATCCATCACGACACATAAGAACTAAGACTTTAAGAACTCCGAGGTGAAGAAACAAAAAGGGTCCATTCTCACATCGAAACTAATCGGCTACAGTGAATTATATTATTTTATTATTTAAAATAATAATATAAATCGATAGTGTCTATACTATATAAGATATAAAAAAGGAAGAAGTGTGATCTTAAGGTTGTTACGATTTGAGATTGTCTTGTCCACATTAAAAGACACGACCCCGATAAATTGGAATTCGGGATGGAACGGTGCAAGTTCATAAGATACCCCAAGGAAACTTGTGGGTATTATTTTTATTATCCCAAAGACCAAAAGATTTTTCTTGCTAAGAGACAGTGTTTGTTGAGAATGAACATATTCTTAGCGGAGATATTCTTGGGAGCATGATAGAGTTGAGCGAGATTTGAGAACCTATCTCAGGTACCATTCCGGAGACCGAGTTACCTGACACACAAGTTCCAATTTTATGCAGGTCTGGTAGAATATCGTATCCTCTTGAGAGACATGTAGGACATATTAGTGGAGAGGACACTCAGGATGTTGATTCTCAAACCTACGAGGAGATTATTATGAGCATAGACTCCGGGAAGTAACAAGAAGTCATGAATTCTGATATGAAATCTATGTAATTCAATAAGGTTTGAAACCCTGTTGATGCATCTAAGGGTATCGTACTTATTAATTATAAATGAATCTTCAAGAAGAATATCGGAGTAGATGAAAAAGTGGAGACCTATAAGGCAAGGCTAGTGGCTAAGGGGTATCGTCAAAGATAATAGGTTGACTATGACAAAACTTTCACACTTGTAGCTATACCGAAATTCATCTAAATTCTGTTAGCTATTACAGTACATTATGACTATAAGATTTAGTAGATGAACGTAAAGACTGTATTCCTCGATGACAACCTCGAGGAGGAGGTGTATATGATACAGATTAAGAGATTTTAGTTTAAGCTGAGTCTAGATAAGGTATACAGGTTTCTTAAGTCCATTTATAGACTAAAACAAGCTTTCCGAAGTTGGAACATAAGATTTGATGAGACGCTCAGATCTTATAACTTTGTTAAGAACGAAAATGAGCCTTGTGTGTACAGGAAAGTAAGTGGAAGCGTAATCACCTTCTTGGTGTTATATGTGGATGACAACCTAATCATTGGAAATAATATAGGAATGCTCTCCACGGTAAATACTTGGTTATCTAAACACTTCTTCATGAAAGACTTAGGGGAAGCAGATTATATTTTGGGGATTCAAATATATAGAGAGATTCAAGAAGATGCTTGACTTATCCTAATCTAGGTACATAGATATCATTATTAAAAAGTTTGGTAAGAAAAAAATCTAAGAATGGTCTCAGACCTGAAATTTTACTTTCTCAGAGTATATCCACAAAAAAAAACTCTTGAGGAAAGGACAAACATTGATAGGATACCCTATGCCTCTATGATATGGTCTATCATATATGTTATGCTATGTATCAGGCCTGATATGGCGCATGCTCTGAGTGTCACGAGCGGGTATCAAGTGGATCCAAACTTTGAGCACTGGAAAGCGGTAAAGTGTATTCTTAAGCACTTAAGAAGTACTAAAAATCTTTTACTAGTATAAGGAAGAGATAATCTCTAGGTTGAGGGCTACACAAACTTGAGTTTTCAATCCAATGTCGATGGTCGAAAAGAAAATCTAAGGGTGACATCAAATGCGCAGTGGAAGAATAGAAAATAAAATTTTCATATTTCCCAAAAGGTGTTCGTCGTCCTATGAAGATTAGTACATAAAAACATACAAAAATAAAAACTACGTGTGAGATAGTTATGTTATCTAGGGAGATCGTATATCCCTAAAATCCTGCAGATTTGTGAAAGAGGATAAAGGAAGTCAAGTGTCCTCCTCTCTAACGGTGATTCACACTATAAGGGCTTTTGGTTCTCTCATATTTATATAGGCCCTTGTCAACTTAACCCTAATGATCTTGTCTTATTGGGTACTAAATCTTCATCCAACTACCCAAGCCTCTTAAATTAGTTAATCTCTATCCAATAATATCTCATTGGCTTATATTGGATATTATTTATAGGATACAATAATTTAGGGGCTTATTGGATATTAAATAAGATAGGGGCTCCAACGAATATCTCATATCCGAACCTCTACTCGTCGCAACACATATCATATGTGTGTGACCCTCTAAGCCTAATATCGAGCTGGTCATAACTCATACCTATCAAAACTCCTTTTGACTTAGTGAATTATTATCTCCATAATAATTCACTCAACTCACCAACTATAGACGTACTAGGTGTAAGGAAATCTAGGGGCAACATCATATGCGCAACGGAAGAACAGAAAACAAAAACCTAAAATTTTTCGAAATGGTGTTCGTCGTCATGCGAAGATTTATGCGTAAAAACCTGTGTAACTTAAATCCACGTATATTTACCTAAGGAGATCGTATATCCCTGAATCCCTACAGATTTGTAGGAGAGGATGAAGAATGTCAAGTGCTCTCCTCTCTAGCGGTGATCCACATAGTAAGGTTACGACGACGCTTCTCAAATTACTGTCTAAATCTCCACACCTGTTATCCGAGGAGAAGGGGAGAGGAGAATAGGAGGTGGCAACCAAGAAGCCTCTAGCCTATGGGCATTTGGTTCTCTCCTATTTATAAAGGTCCCCTATCAACTTAACCCTAATTGATCCTATCTTATTGGGTATTTGATCTTCATCCAACTACTCAAGCCTCTTAGATTCATGGATCTCTATCCAATAATCTCTCATTGGTTCTTATTGGATCTCATCCATATGCTCCAATAATTCAAAGGCTTATTGAATATCTAATAAGATAGGGGCTCTACCGGATATCTCATATTCGAACCTCTACTCATCGCAACGCATACCATATGTGTGTGACCCTCTAGGCTTAATATCAAGCTGGTCAAGAGTCATACCTATCAGAACTCCTTCTGGCTTAGTGAATTATTATCTTCATAATAATTCACTCGACTCATCGACTACGAACGTACTAGGTCACAGCCCCCAAATGATACAGGGGAATCCAATCATTTCGACCTATCTAATCATCGTGTACATATAGTCCCTCATTCATCTTATATTCTAGAGACAATATACCGGTCATGGTGTTGTCAGACCCATATGGTTTTTACTCGAGTCTCACTCTAATCGGATTCTCTCGGAGATCTCTTTCTCTCTCAGTCCAAAAGACCTTAACCAGAGATTTATTTGAGCAAAAATACATGAGATATTCCTCTCATAATATCAAGAGTGAATGATTCTCTATAGACACTCAATAGCCCTCATAAGATTGACTGTCACTCTGATGACCAGTTGTGGTAGATCTGAAACTTTCAAACCTATAAGTCCACTATCAAAGAGTATAGTACTTATACAAAATATTTTTGGTGTCTCAAGTCTAAGGATCAAGTACATCACTGAAACAACAGAATTGTTATCTTATAATGAAGTATCATTAACCATCTAACATTCCATGAGTGGATCAATCAGTGAACTCATTCTCCAATGAGCACTTGAACTATAACCCTAGTGTCCCCACATGAGCAACTATAAGACCAGTTGCCCCCATCATATGGTCGAGTATACAACACACCAATCTATCCGGTTATCTCGATAACCCTCTTGAGTGACCTATGACCATGATTATTTATGATATATGTTTAAAGGTGAATCGGTCGCATTATCGTGATCTTATCACGATCCGATTCTCATTGTACATCTCCCTTTACACATAAGTTTTACACACCAATCTTTGCATGATGATGAAACCTTATTTTCTACGAAAAATTTTGGGATTTTATTTTATATTATTACGCTACACGTGTGATATCGTCCAAAATTTCTCTATAATGGTATCAAAGTCGAGTTGTTCATACAAAAGATTGATTTTTTTAACTGTGTGTTACGTTCAATCGCGTTCAATTATTTTTATGCATACAAAAATTATGATTTAATTAATAAATATATTTTAAAAAATTAAGATATTTAATTCTAATTTAATTTAAAACTATAAATTAAAATTAATTTTGTTATAAACAAACTCAATTATGGGTCGCTAACTTAGTTTCCATTTATTAATGGACATTTTCCCTTTTTTCACCATCAGGTTTTTGAAACCCCATTCAGTTGTCGTCTACCATGTGTCATGGTTAATTCAATCCAAATTTTATCAAGGTCTTAATATACTTAATTAAGGATTTGATTACAAATCGATTTAATGTCGAGTCTAGTTATAAAAACATAATTTTATCATATAAAATTAGATTATATTATTATTTTTAAATAATAAGATAATACAATTCACTTTTGTTAAGAAAAATTATGATTTAGTCTATGAATATATTTTTAAGAAAAATTTTAAGATGTTTAATCATGATTTAATTAAAAATTATAACTAAAAAATTAAAATTCGTTATAAACAAGCTCGATTATGGCCTTTTCCTTTCTTCACCTCCAAGTTTTCTAAGCCCTACTTAGTTTCAATCCACTTTGTGTTGTGATTAATTCAATCCAAATTCTACCAAGTCCTAATGATGAAAAATTTTGTCATTAAAATTAGAATATATTTTTT